TTATTAAATTCCTAGAAAGGCAAAATTAATTGTTGCCGAGAAGCATATTTTTTTACCTAAAAAATCTCGAGATGAAAGGTCATGTTTCGTCTTATCCGCGAGCAACTAGCAAAGCTTTAGAAAGCTCTTATATTTCAAGACAAAATGTTTGGCTACTCGGAAACTTATTCAGAAGGGAAATTGACTCGCGGCGAAGCGCCGGGAGTGGGGGCGGTCAGCGCCGTCGACTCTACCGTATCAATAATAACTTACACTCTCCTTCGTGACCAGCCTAGATACGAGGTGGCATATACGTCCCGCTTAAAGTAGCCAGCCCCCAGCCTAGTGTCGCTTGCGCGATACCAGTGTAAACATAATGCAACCGAGGCGCGATGTGACGCGGAGAACGGCGCGGATCCTCGCGTTCTTCATTCTGCGATCGAGGGGGTGGAGAAAGACGGGCGGGGGGGGGAGGCGGGGTGGTCGAGGAGGTTTTTTTTCTTTTTTTTTCGTTTCGCCTTCTCCCCCGTGCGAGAGGGAAGAAGGCGAGGCGACGAGGCGAGCCGACGGGGCAACGCCGATCGATAGGCATGTACGCGTTATACATATACGCGCGATCGATGCGGGCCTAGGCTCTCCGCAAGAGCGAAGGATGTGGTGTATAGGTATGTAGGTAGGTAAGTAGGTAGGCAGATAGGTAGTAGTAGGTAGGCTGTACAGTAGGTTGGTAGACCACGCTGAAAGGCGCGCGCAGGGATGTACCGTTAGAGCCGCTTCGCCCGCCGCCGTCCGACATGACGCCGTCCCACCGTCGTCGTTTTGCGTGCGAACTTTTGCGACGCCATTGTCATTCCCGTCGTCGTCGTCGTCGTCGTCGTTGTCGTCGTTGCCGTAAACCGCCCGCCGAAAACCAGCCGCGGAATCGCTGCCGCGCGCGTACCGCGATGGCGCAACTGCGCCGTGAAAGTACCGCAAATTTGCGACGCGATGCTGCCGGAATAGAGCCGAAGGAAACTTTCCACTCTGGGACCAACTTGTTTCCTGATAACGTTTATGACTCCTGTCGTCATTTGCATTAGTAAACCAACCACGTTTTGTCTATTGTATGACAGATTGATTTAGATTCCGTGACAAAATTCCCGCGGATTAATTGCCAAATAATTGGAAAATATATTAGCGAGAGGTAGTAAATATAAAATGTTAAATTGAAGAAAGATTACACGGCGACTATAGCGATTTTAAAGGGGTATCATTATAAAGGCATAAATCTTGATGGCCGTTGATTGTGTAAACTAACGGAAATGATTTATTTTGCATTTTAATGACTTACTTAATAACCTATTTATTGAAAAGTAAAAAGCTACGACATTCGATGGTAGCCCATTAAATTCTCGTAAACGTGCGTTTTCAAGTCGTCAAAGTAACATTTTTACTCCACGTTCTCTCTTCTGCAAATACTCAATTTCCATTTCCGCCGAGCTTTTGCCGCCGCACAAACATAGGTATAGAATCCACCATAGCGGAATCAGCGCGCATATATATAAAGTTTAATCGCGTAGGAAATACAGGAACTCGTTTCGCGCGCGAAACCGCGTTTACGAGAATTATTTTCCGTGTCTACTCGCGAATTATTGGAGCGCAGTAACCATGCTCGTTGAAAAAGCCGTCAGATCGAACTCGCGCGCGCGATATCCCAAGGTCGAAAGTCTCCGCGAGCCGTTTTCTTCGGTATAAAGACAGAGAGAGAGAGACTCGAATGCCGCGGCCCGCTCGCGTAACTGCAAGGCGAGCGGTGTAAACCGCCGCGCGCCGAAATCGGCGCGGCGCAGCGCACGGTTGCACGGGGCGAGTTGCTTTCTCATTTTGGGTTCATTGCGCTCTTTCGGTGGGACCCGCAGCGTTTGTAACTCCGCGTGCAAGTTTGTAAGGTGAAATTCCACGTGGAAATTTCCAGGTGGACTCCGTCGTAAATTACATTACGACAACGAGGCGTTTGACAAGCGGCCCTCTCGAACATATACTTTTAAGCAACCGGGTCCGATCGCCTCTCGCGGTGCAAAGTGAATTCGAAATACCGAGATCCCTACGTTTTCTTTTTCTCTCATGCGCTCTTATCCGCGACATATGTTCGCGGTGTTTTTATTTTTCTCTGCTTCTTGAAATCGTAAGAATCGAAGAAATGTGCGAACGATTTTTCTCATCGTCCGTAGAGCGTTAAGTCGATAAAATATTTATGAAAAGCCGCCAGTAGTTATTTAATTATTATTGATACTTACGGCATATTTACTTTAGCATATTTATTTACATTTATAATTGTAAGCTGTATTTGTGTACAATTAGAAATCGAAATCTAAAGTTAATGCCTGCAATTTTCTAATAGAGACTTTTTTCATATACTTTAACATATTTAGGTATTTGCGTTTAATTGTAAGCTGTATTTGTGTACAATTAGAACTAAAATCAAAATCTGAAGTTAATGCCTGCAATTTTCTAGTCAGGACTTTTCTCATATTTTATTATACCGCACAAATTTCTCTATGTGCACTCTAATCTTTATCATTTCAATATCATTTTAATTCATATTAGGATAAATCCCGGCAGTACTTTCGGGCTTATCTGCTGGTCTCGCGAACTGAGAAATGATCCGTCTCCGACGAAAACGAGACGGAGAAGGTGAGAGAAAGACAGAGAAAAAGGTGGTATATATTTAGGCGAGTTGGACCAGTGCCAAGCTCATCAACGAAAATGAAATCTGGGTCCTTCTCTCTCTCTTTCTCTCTCTCTCTCTTTTTCCCTCTCTCTCTCCTTCTCTTTCGCTCCGAGTCACTCTCAGCTACTAAAACGACGACGGATTCGCGATACATGCGTACGAAATTTTATCTCGTCGACCTCCCTTTGCATTTCGTATAATCGAGTTGTATTAATAGAGGGAAAAAGATTCAAGTGAAATGTAAAGATTCAAGTAAGAACTACGCAATCAAAGATCCGCGAAGTAAAGATATGCAAACTCTATATATATGTTTTGTGGAATGACGTTACCAAAGATCTATCGAAAGGTTTTGTAAAATTAATCATTCGTTCTGTTATATCATTGTTATTTAATATTAAGAAATCATAATCTAAAACACAAATCTAAATATACACCCAAGCAGAATAACAAGCCACAATAAAATTAAAATGAGTCAAAAAGTGACCTTAATAATCCATTTTGGAGTCATTTTGATGTCTTCAACTGACTTTTTGTTCTACTCGGGTATATAAAGTGCGGAATGAAAGAAAATATTATGCGATCGACGCTCTTCAAAACTATATATAAATCTGTGATATTGAAAAATTCAAAATGAAATATGCATAATTAAATGTATGCTACACGGATCTATAAAGAAAGAAATCCTTCCTAATCACGGCAAATTGTCCGGCGAATTTGCGGGAAAGAACGGATTCTTAGAAACGATGGCTCAACTGATTTACAACCGCCACGCTCTCCGCAGTAGTTCGGTTTACCTGGCACGAAACGACTTCGATAAACGATGACTCTAATAAAACGGCGTTCTACTGTGCGAGCGGCGCGATAAATATTCCGCATACGGCTTTCGCGCGACATTTCAATCACCCTTCATTATGGGTGTCGATGCACACCCGGGGCTTAGCTGGTGGCCGTATCTCGGTAGCGCGAAACCCGGGCTAGCTGTCGAAGAAGGCGCGAGAACGCGCAAAGGGAGAGAAACGTCTGTCAGCCTAGAGTCCCGCTTTCCCCGCCCGCGGCATCAAAATCGTTTCCGGACCTGGGTCGGGGTCCAGGTCCGACCATAACCCGCTCTCGGGTCCATTTTTGTCAGTCAGGCCCCTCTCGCTCTCTCGTGGGCGTTGCGCAACTTGCGTGTGAAAAAAAAAACAGAAAGAAAGAAATGGGCGTGTACTTTTGTACAGGATTATCGAAGAGGTACGATGTATACGAATTTTAATAATTTTAATGATAATTAATATCCATATAATGTATTCTTCTATAATCCTTTGTATTTACAAAACAATTGCTGCATTGATACTTGTGTTAATCCTACTTCTCTTCAAAATGCTTAATATTATTACTTTCAATAAATAAAATGATAAATAAAATAATTACATTAACATTTAGTTTGTTGTACTATAATATTTGAAAAATATCTAAACTGAACAATGCTTTCAGAATGTGTTTCAGAAACTTTTTGTTTTTGAGAGAGGAAAATATAATAAAAGATCCATTTTTTTTATTTTGACGTATAAAAAAAAAATAATAAAAGCTAAGCACGCGATGTGGTGTTTCGGAACAGGTTTCAAGTCGCGTCACAACATCTCTCAGAATTTGATTGCGTAGAAAAGCTGACTGGATCAGTCAACGTCGTCCCGAGATCGTGCTGCCGATCGCCCGATATTTCTTCTGCCTAGGCACACTTCACCCTCGCGATCCGCGAGAGTTGATCGTTTTCACAACGATCCCATCTAGCATAAATCTATCTGCGATTATTGCGCAAACCCTCGATAGCTCACCGACACGGCTGCACTTTATCGTTCCCCGATCTATTTTCAAACGCCGCCGGCTAAGCCGGCGGGCGTGCTATGACACCGTGTGTGTATATATATACATATAAGTATATATTATATACATATATATATACATTATGCCTTGGACACGTATCTTTTCTACCGTAACACATTGCTTAACCCCTTCTGAGCCGCATAATAATGCGCTCTCCTGTTTTACGAGTTCTAACTAACACTATATACATATACCGCCGCGCTCGTTTATAGATAATTTGAATTTCCGATACGGCTTTTTGCATCGCGGTGCTCCATATTTGTCTAATCCATAAATTATTCAATTCACAGATCATTGTATTCGTGCACCATTACTGTTACTGATTTCTAATTTTACAGTTATATATAGCTTCATAAATTTTATAATTTGTCATATATACGATTTGAAAGACTGTTTATCGGATGATATCGTTTGTATTTGTTTGATAAAGTATAAATGTACTCACCGCAAAGTGGCCGTCAAGTATGCGCATAGAATGAAAATAATGATCTTACCTGGAATAAAAATACAAGTGTTAATATGGAATAAAGGATATTTTTTATTGCTTAACTAAATGAAATAATGTTCATCAAGTAAATTAATTTTATTAAAATTTTAGAAATTTCAATAAAAAAGGTGTAATAATAAATGATAGCTTTAAGCAATTATAATTTATATTAACATGTCTGTATTTTTATATTTTAAATACCTTTCGAAATTATAATATTAAAATATTAAAATAGTATTTAATATATGCCGATATTATATGCTGGTTATATTTACATGGCCCTATTACGTTATTTTATTTAATAATTTTGTTTAATTATGTTGGAACAAATAAGACGCATAATTTTAATGTAATTTAATTTCTAGCCTCTAAGATCTTCTAGCCCTCTAAGATCTTGATTATAGTCTCTAAAATTCTTAAATCTCCATGGATAATCGAAATTCGAAACAACCTAATCTAAAAGTAAAGCGTTTCAAAATATCGAGCTTACGGGAGCGATCCGATTGTCCATCAGATCGCACAGGATGACGCAGCACCGATTCTTTTTAAAAAACTGCGTGGCGCTCCATGAATATGAACGTTTAATCGACCGGCAACAAACAAAAAGTTATTAAAATTTGATCGGATAACGTTTGCCTCGTTTAACCAGAACCGCGTGCGTTTGAAACTATCAAGAGGACCGCCGTCGATGATTCCCGAATACAACCGAGCGATTCTATAACAATAAGCGCGACTCTAATTGTAAATCAAATGTATCACGAAGATGAATACCACAGATTTCAATGCAAAAATTATCGACGCTAAGTTTGAAGATCAAGCTTAACGTCTTTCACGCGCGCTAGGGCTTTCACTTTAAAACGTTTGTAATATGCTCAAAACTCGAGCGAGAGTGTAATATCGGAGACCTGAGAGATTGATAACGGACTCAATTTCCAACTGTATCCGGATAAAAAAAGCCATTTTATGAATGTGATACTCTCCGCGGAGCCGTCAGTTTCGTATCGTGTATTTTTATACGCGGTGTGCAGTCAAGGAATTTTCCGATCGACCGCTGCAAATCGTTGCGCCGCGCCGCTGCGTGGATGCGCCTAATCACCAAGGTTTCAAGAAGAAGATATATTATACACTGTCATCTTGAAATCTTGCAAATTGAGTTATATATATTTGTTCGAATTGTATCTTTTCCCTTTAAGCTCCCGCCATCACGCATTCGCAAGCAATTATCTTCATTTATACCGAGTCACTATGGCAATCAGTGTGTTTCTTTAGAAATATATTGCGGCAGTACAGTAATAATTTCAATACAAACAGGCAATGTTAGCAATACATATAGCAATACATTAACAATACTTGACAATACTGCGCGCAATAGATGGCAGTACATGAGATAATTAGAGATTATAACAGTATTATACTGACAATACGAAAACAATACTATTAACAATACAATAGCAATGCTAACGACAAAGTGTGTTGTATTGCCATAATTATCCATCGCTGCACATTTTTTTAGCAGTGGTTAACCCCTCGACTTATACACATGTATTTTAAACTGTAACTTTAACTCAAGTATATGTATATCGTATTTGTTACAATACAACGTGGATTCTTAACTTGTAATCACAGATTTCTATACTACACTAGATCGCTAAGCTTAAACTTACGTGATGGGGATAAGACAAATTGAATTATCTGGATAGGATATTGCCGCTATTTGTAACACGGAAAAATCGCCAACTTCACAGTACATTCTTTTATGACATATGAAATAAATCTACGAAACATAATGTGTTGACCGGAAGTGTCGGCCATTTGCAATGTGGATATACTAATTGATTACTTCACCCTCATTAGCTATAAGTTAGCAGTCTAGTGTAGTATAGAAATATGTGACAAATATATAACACACTCTGTTCCAATCGCATGAATTGCCGAAAAACGGATTTAAATGCGACCGACGAAAGAAATGTTTTAAATAGAAAGCATAGAATTTGTTTAAAATAAAATCGTAAAACTTATAAGTAGTTTTATATAACAGGACGCGTTGCACGCCGTTTCTCATCCTGACATTCACTAACGATCTAACGATCGAAGGTGCTTTTTGGTTTTTCGCCAATAACGCCACCGACCGATCGCCGCGCGATTTTCCGAAGCGAAATCGCGCGAGAATCGACGTATCGTCCGCCATCTCGTCTCTCTCTCTCTCTCTCTCTCTCGCGCGCGCGCGCGCGCGAGAAGCGATCGTTGTCGGCGCGAGGAGCTGTCGCAATCGGAAGTTCCGTCTCGCAACCGGCGGTGCGTCGTTCCGATTCGACGCACCCGGCGCGAGTAGAACGGCTGCCGCGCGGTTCGGTGAGCGAGAACGTGCTTCGTCCGAGCCGCTTGCGTTCCGCTTCTCTCGGCCGAGGTCCATGTTCGTCCGCGCGAATAAACGTAACTGCGTCTTACGCAGGTTTTTCCTCTCTCCGCTCAATTGTCTCAGCCGTTGACTGACTGATGCGCAATATGCGGTAGAATGCTTGTGTTTCGAAATTCTTATATACTTTTATATACATAATTATATATATCAAGTTTTTTAAAATCTAATTTAAAAGGAACATTTATTTAAATATTTTTTATCTTTTTTTTGCAGAAATTTAATACTGAAAGAAGTAAATATTTACTTATTCTGAGTATTAAAAGTACTATTTGTTTAAAAGAAACATTTACTTGAATATTTATTATCTTCTTTTCGCAGTCTTACAAAAATCTAATACTGGAAGAGTGAAATAATTACTTATTTTAAGTATTAAAAGTACTATTTGTTAGTGCGTTTAATACTTAAAATAAGTTATAATTATTCCGTCTTTCCAATAAAATTTAAGGATATTTTATTCGCTTGTGTAAATTTTGTGTCTTATAATTAATATTGTTTTAGTTTTTTTTTCATAAAAATCATTGTTACATACATTGGGAAATTGAACATTATCATATATTTACACATGTAATACGATTTTTATCGTTTTTCATTTTCATTACATAAAGTCCCGATCAAGTCTCCTTCTAATGACCGCGTTCTGCAGATTTCTCGCGACGGGTGGTGTCCGTAGCTTCTCCGCGGCCGCTGCGCGCCGCGTCGGTAAGGACGAGCGTCGGCGATAATTTCGCGGCGAAGCGCGCATATCGAAAGCGCGACGCGGTCGATACTAACTCGCGCGAGTGATCGAGTGCGCGACTGGTCCGTCCGAGCGCTGCCGGTCGAGCCGAGCGGTGCCGAGCGGAGCCGAGACGACCGGCCTTGCAAGGCTGCAGGTCGTTGAACCCTTGGCCTACTGCCGTCGCGCGCGCCACGTAACGCGCTTACGCGCGAACGGGGATAGCCCGTCGAACGTCGGGGGAAGAAAAAGGACGAGGCGGGCGGACGCGCGCGGCCTGTGACTTTAGAAACGTTGACGAGGGCTGAAAGAGTTACGCGCCCGAGACGCGTATTTGTGGTGGTGGGAGTTTTCCTCGCCCGCGGGCTTCGACAACTGTGGCAAATTTTCCTTCTGACGATATTTAGAGGGTAAAATTTAAACAGAAATTCTTTTGAGTTACTGCCATCAGCGGTGGAAGTACGGTGTAAGTCAAAGAAAATCCCCTTGTGTTCTCTTTTATTCCGTGTAAATTTAAAAAGATTGAGGAAAATATAAACATATAGGGTACAGCGGGATAATTTGAATAGTGGAGTAATTTGGATAATATATTAAGCATTTGCAAGAATTTCAGCAGTGGCAGATCAACGGAGGGGAGGGGGGGGGTGAAGGGGGCGATCGTCCCTCCTTCCTAAGAGCTCTCCAAACAAATTTCGTATATTGGAAAAAGTCGGTTTAAAACGAATTGAGAAAAAAAATTATCAGAAATTATTTGAGACTAAACAATGTTCACTCAATTATTTTTAAATAATAAAAAATATTAAAAATAACATTAACGACAATAATAACTAAATATTCACATTTCATCATACCGTACCCCCCCCCCCCTCCAGAACAATTCTCTGGATCCATCACTGAATTTCAGAAAAATAAGAGATTTTAAGATATATTTCATTATATCAGACATTGATTTATTTTTATGAAATTCTTGCAAATGCTTACTATTATCCAAATTACCACGCTGTACCCTATACTCATCATACGCGGTATTAAAACTTGCGAGATTTTTTATTATCAAGAACTTTAAAGTTCAGCTTCGCCAGAGCTTCTATATCTGCTTTGATTTCCTGGACTAGACGAAAACAGAGTTAAAGAAGAAGATATAAAATTGCTTATTTTATACGAAATTTATAAATATCTTTTTTTTTTCTTTTGAGTCAAGGAAATAAAAAAGTTGTAGGATTTTTATAAACCTTTTTAAGAGAAGCTGTTACTTGGAATAAACAATTAAAATTGCGCTGGTCAAAAAGACGTGCGAGATTACGTATGTGTGCCATGATAATAATAAAAAAATGCATTTTTCACGAATATATTTAAGAAATAATGCCAACACAACACTAATTTTACACGAAGAAGTCGAGACATGCCATGGTCGTGTGCGATTTGCGCAATGCAGGGCTTCGCTGTCGGATATATTATTGCCGCGTAAAGCTGCCGCGTAAGCTCGTTAAAGACACAAATCTCGCGCGACAGACGGACATGTTGGATTAACAGACGCGATTGATTAAAGTAAATCTTTTAGTATTACAAGAAAGAATAAAAAAAAAGTTTTGTGTCAAATGTTCAAATTTTATCACGTATATTATAATTTAAATAGATTGGAAAAATTTATTATCTATATAAAAACGACTTGCTGAGATTAAAAATTGAAGAATTGGACGACATCAAGTGGCAACAATTTTCTCTTTCCTTGCGATTAAACAATCGCAATTAAACAATTGCGATTAAATGACATAATCTAAATTGACACTTTCTTACATATTAAAATTTTTTAAATTAGAATTTAGAGATGTATTTTTCCACTAAAAATGCAAAAAAAATATTTGATAGTACCTCCTCAATAAGATAGATTTAAAAAATCGTTTACTTAAAATTTATATTTATCTTTTTATTAGATCGTCTAACAATTAAATTTTTATATTTTCTAATAACAGAACACTTTGCATCATAGACGCTAATTTCTTGGAAAGAGAAGTACCTATTTGAGCGAAATTTGAGCAAAAATAAAAATATAATTACTTTTCTAAAAATATTAATAACGCCGAGTCGAAACTGGCAATAGTGACAAGAACGTGTCGCGCTACTGCCACGCTTAAATCACATTATTCTCGCAATCAGTCACGTTAACGGAGCCAGTCGATGTGATGCAGTTGAGGCCAACAACAATAATAATAATAACGATAATAGCAACTCCGTCGGGGAATGCGCTGGGTAGTTCTCCCGGACACGAACGGTAAAACGACAAGGAGCTCGACCTCCTAACCCCTAGACCTGCGGGACGCGCTCGCGCACGCGATCACGTTTTCTCGTAGCTCGCCTTTTCCGTTACGCGGTAATTTTACGCGGTGTGCGCTCGCGCGCGATCAAAACGGCGCTTTTAACGCGCGCGCGCGCGCGCGAGAACGGTAGCGCGAATCTTGCGCTGTTGTTGTAATCGCCGCGTTGGACTGCCAGGAAAAATTACCCACCGGACAACCGGTATTCACGCCCTTATGCCCGCTCGCACTCGTTCTTTCGAACTTGACGTGTGTCTTGAGCCAAACGCGTCGCGCGATGACAAGCGCTCATCATATAAAGCATCTTTAAAAACGATCGCGACACGATCTTTTTCCCGCGATCGCGGACTCGCGGCTAATGACGCCTGTTAAACCGGACGGCTGCAGTTTTACTCGTGTCTGATGATACTGATTAAATGGACAGTAATTTTCTTCGCGTCTCTGATCATCTTCAGGATAATTGTCAGGCCGGTAATTACAGTCAAAGACTTCCCGATTATTGACGTGTTATTATTGGCCGGATTCGCCAACGCCATTAACTGTAATTTAACCGACTACTCATTTCCTATCGTAATATGAGTTGTTGTCTATAATCTAGACGAGAAAAAAAAGTTTAGCTATATACCGCTAAATGTTCGTTGTGTGTGGCAGAAGTATCTCTCTCTCTCTCTCTCCGTGTCGTGTAAAAAATCTCCGCGTCTAGCGACCACATTGACGTACAGCTACGTCATATAAAATCAATGCGTTACCGACTATTGACGTACTAATGCGTCATATAAGACGTGGTGGGTCGGCGCGATTATTGATGTAACGCCGTGTAGTACGACTCTTTATCCGTTATATTTTAACACTACAACACCGATCATTATTTACATCAACAGATCCTACAGATATAGGAGTCTAAGCGATCTTTCAAACATAAAACGTAGCGGTAAATGCTATAAATTTAACTCTCGAATGTAGCTTTATCAAGAAAGTGTTAATCACTTTTTAAATCATTTTTATTTGATGGATAGCAATTTTGTTTGCATTAAGCAGCTCGCAACATCTTAAAGTTATGCATGATATATCGAATTTTTAAAAATGTGTTTTCTGAAACATATTTTGGAGATTTCACAATGGAATAGTTGTTATAGAGAAATATAAATATGCATTTGTAAATTAAATAAACTGAACGTATGCCACGCATGTAATGTAAATTAAATATATAGATATATTAATCGTACAATAAAAGATATATTGTATATGCAACTGATAATATTTTATCTACATCCATTAAAAGACTATGTTTATTTTTCGCTAACCGTTACTTTTGTAGTCATAAGCGGTGGAAAATGTGGATGGAGACCGGATATGATATTTTACTAATAAGTCTACAGTATATGAAGGAAATCAATAGTTTACGCTCAATCTCAATATAGAACTATTGAAAATTTCATATTGTTTTAACAGCTTCTTTTGTAGACATTACCTTTAAAAGATAACAACATTTCATTTTAACTTTTAAACATTCGAGAATCTGATAATATTTACACAGAAAGAACTCGGCGACTTGTTTGTTGCAACAATTTGTAATATTTTGAGTTATATTCTTTCAATTAAACGTGATGTGCATGCATTCAAGCAATTATTATTAGATTATTATATTAGCTTACTAATTCCAATTTTAATAAGGGCTCCGTAAGACTTACGTTTTACATGCAGTTGCATTCTTTTTGATTTTTGATAAAAATTATAGAAATTTAATCTGCTTCGTTAAGAAGCGTGTTTCTCTTTTTCAACCATTATCCCGCTTGTAATTCTCAACATTTAGGCTATCCTAAAATATTATAGCAGAAAGACGTATCAACGAACAATATATTAAATCGCAAAAGATTGCGTTTCAATGCCTTCTTACATAAGTATGTAGGTACGTTGAATTTTCCCATCGGGCCACCTATCTTTTCGTGTATCCGTGTCCGCGTCAAATGCCCTCTCTTCGTCCGTGAGGGCGCTCTCCAGTGAGCGCGACAAGGATGACGAGAGAGGCACGTGGGGGCTACTCATGCATCGGCGAAGTAACGGTGTCCGGTAACCGCGTCAGAGCCGGTGCTAGCGGTACTCGCCGGCGTTCCGTTACTCGACCGACAGATCCGCTAACGCGACTCGCGCTCTCTCTTTCTCGCTCGTTGCACGCCTGCTCCTTTCTCCGTCACCGCCGCCGCCGCTGCCGCCGCCGTGCCGTAGAGCCGACACGCCGCGGCCCGCACCGTCCCTCGTCATTCGGGCAAGTACCGGCGCATCGCGGAGCCGCTCCGTCTCGCCGCGCGATTCGCGTGCTGGCGGAGTAATGGCCCGGCGTTACGCCAACGCGATTACGCGATTACGCGAGCGAGATCGTGGACCTAACCGCCGCCCGCGCCGTTCCTCGCACACGGCACAGACGTTTCCAGAAGACAGATCGAAATACGGGACGTTTGCTCGACGTAAATAATAAAAGATTTAGCGTGTTTGCCCACGAACACGTTTACTACGATTTATTTATTTATTTATCATTCTCGTTGACGTTTTTGAGGAGCGCGCGCTGAGAAATTTCGAATTAGCCTTTTTTCCACCAAGAGATTTAGACTAGAAGCTTTAATGGGTAATTGAAAATTTACCAATACAATTTCACACTGCGAATTGAGGTGTGTCAACGAAATAATTGGGACAATATAGATATTTAAAAAATGTTTTAAAACTTTTTAGATATTTTCAACATTAGATTTTCTGTTTCAGTTTTTTAAACGTTTGTTAAATTTTTGCTAAATTAAAAAGAAAATTGTTATTAAAAAACGAGCGAATGACCAAATAACATTTCTAATTAAGATTTTCTATCATTTCTTTAAAAATTCTGCCGGACCAATGCATTCATTTGACATTATTACCATTCCTAATAGTTTGTATTCTCTCTTTCTTGCTGTCGTTTTTAATGCGTATTAAAATTATCTAATTTTTCAATTCTCTACAATTTATCGATAATAAAAAAATGAATGCTAACAGACCAAAGAAAAATCTCAAATCATTTTTTTTAAATCATCGTCATACCTGTTCCCGTGATCGGCGGTGATGTCAGTTGTGAACTACTTATATCTGGGGGCTGTTGCGTTTGTTGTTGTTGCTGCTGCTGTTGTTGTTGTGGTTGTTGTTGTTGTTGCTGCTGCTGCTGTTGCTGCTGCGGTTGTTGCTGTTGCGGACTGTTCGCATGCACGTTGCCCGGACTGGCTGCGCTTTCAGCCATTTTTTCGTGCGATTTGTTTTTGCTTTCAATAAAGATACTCTAATATGAGCTATGGCATTTCTACGTATGATAACTGTCGTAGACAGCGTCGTTGTTGTTGCGTTGCGTTGAGGCCAGCGACGAGATGAGGAGAATGAATGAACCAGTCAGTTCGAATAACCAGTCAGTCACTTTCGAGATTACTCGAGTACTTGCCTTGGGCTTCTATCCCATTATATTCTCGTCTATATGTAAATATTCATGTGCGAATTATTGCAGGATTTATTTGCATCTCTTCGTAAACATTGAGATCATCGTTTCTCGAGAGACAAGAGAGAGAGAGAGAGAGAGAGAGGGACTTAAAGAGAACACCCTTTTAAAGCGTCTTTCTTCATGAGGCGTGTAACGTTCTCGTCTCACTCTTAATCTTTTGTGTTGTCTTTCGTGCTTGATTGGTGGCTTTATATTGATAATATTGATCTGCTTCGTTACGTTCATTTAGATATCATTAACGGCTCGTATCGGTACGCCACACTTTTACGTCACGTTGACACGACGACGCGTCGATATCGAAGAGAATCTCGAGCTCGATGTATCCGCTTTTGATCGATTTTTCGCTATGCGCGAGCGGACATTTGCTTCGGTGCATTTTCGTGGGATCCTATCGATTGAGTTCGTCGGCATGAAAAGGATGTTGGAAAAGCGATGGCGACGAATCGAAAATGCAATTTTGCTGCACCGTCGTAAAATTCTTGAGGTTAACGTTGTTAATTTAAGACACTATACGGGAAGAAGTGTCGTTTATACGCTCGTGAATGAGGAGCAAGTGATTTTTGATGCGTTCGAAAGTTCGGAGGAACCGAGTTGTCAAGGGCCAAGGGGCTAAGAGCAACAACAACAAACATCAGGGTGGAAAGTGTAGAAGAGGGATAGTTGGAACGGCCTCGAGTGGCAGCCCCGCGCCGAGTCGATAGGTCAGTGGGTCTCGTTCGGAGAGGGTCGCTTCGATTCAACCACGCGTTTCCTCGCGCGCGCAGCCTCGGGAAAACAGCGAGGGAGCGTAGCGGTCGAAGTCCTTAGACCCGGTGCGAGTTCGATCTGCCCGACCGTGTGGATAAGGAAGTGCAAGCACTCTATCACCGAGACACGAAAAACTTGAAGCTTTTTTCTTTTTTTTTGAACAATCGGTGACGAGAGAGAGAGAGAGAGAGAGAGAGGAGAGATCGATTGCTCATAAATATAACGATTCCGTATTCGTGCACAAATTGATTTTGTCGATGTAACAGCTGTAATCGATTTTAACGATAATGGCTTTCTGCGAGGTCGCGTTGTCAAACTACAGCACATGAGGCAGCGACTGGTCTCTATTGTGAGTTATGACCAACGTGCTTGAAGAAGATGAACGCATGGGAACAGTTTCACCCTTCAACCTCATTCATAAGCTGTATTTATTGCCCGGCTAGTTGAGACAATTGTGATGAACACACGTTTTCTCAAAAATTGCTAGAATTGGAATCGTTTGTTCTATGCTATTAAAGATGAATTGAGAAAGATACGATCGGATAGGATCGAAGAGAATGCGAGAGGTTCAACGAGGGAGCTCGTGGATTTCGTGCGATTCCGTATCTCCGCAGCAGATCCATGTTCGACCATGGTTGTCGGTCATCGGTTTTTTCTTCTTCACTGAGATCATCGACTGTGCAGGAGAGTGCCGGGATCGTCGATCGGATTGAGCGAAGGACAACGGAGCGAGGCGGTGCTCGCGACCTTCGACGATTAATTCGACGGCTGCGGTCGATATCTCTCCACCGCGACCGCTAGCCTCGCACGCGATAAGATACTTTAACACTCGCGACGAAATATTTGCCGCCGGTCGTTGACGGCTATCCCCGATTCTCCCCCGTCGATTTCGTCGATCACTGACATTCTGGATCACCACACTGCCGTGGACACCCACATCGCGAATCACTCATACTCCTCGTGTGTTAAGTGTATCCCGGTATCATCGACGGTATTCTATGACTGTGGAACTTCCTCGAGAACGCTCTATCTCCGTTGACCGTCAACACGGAGTATCTTCCGTCAACTCGAAGTGTCTTTCTCCTGTCCGACGTCAAAAGATCTTCGGCACGATTATCGGCGACGTTGAGGTCGGAAGAAACAAGCTGGCGCACATTCCCGAGGATACCTCCTGCAGGAAAGCACGACGGGCTCGGGGGGAATCTCTCGTTCGAGCGCCTCGTGGTTTCACATCGTGCTCACCCGTCGTGATCGTCGACGATGGAAGCGGAGCTCGCAGCTCACGGAGGAAGGCACGTTACTTTATTTCCGCTGGCAACTCATACGAATCGCGCGCGCGATGAGCAACCCCGCGCGTACCCGGGTTAGATTCGCCGTGGAGGAGAGTCGTCAGGTCCTCGTCCCGGGCTCAACCTCGTCCCTTCTTCCTGCCTTCCTTTCGTTTCGGCGCTATGCACTTTACGGGCACCAGTGGCTCCTGCTTGCACCGACCACCACCAGATGGCATCCGGGGATGCTTGACTCGCCCCCGAGCAACCCCGTTGCGCCCATGGAGCCCTCGCCACCGCCACCCCGCCCGGGTTACGCTAGCTAGCGAGGGGCTTCGAGCCTTGCGCAATATTTATGGCGAGGTGGAAGGGCATTCTTCGTGGAGAGAGATCATTATTTAAGTTATGATGTATAGTCAGAAAGGGAGATAAGCAAGGGGGATGAAGTAATAGGGAGCCTTAATAGCAACGTAAATGAATAATAAATATTGTTGGTAATGACAATGATTTAGAATATCGTGCGGCATAATTGTATTTTACACCAAGCATATATATAATAAACTTTTTTTTACAAAAATTAATACATTATTACTTTTGTATTATATATATTATACCTTTCATATGAGAAATTATTATTCGTATATTATATTAATGTTCGATATTTATTATTATATTTTTCCTACGTATATATTACTAAAATCCATTTTATTGTTTTTTTTAAATTTATTTGTCCATTGAGATGAATTACAAAATGGTATATTTAAAATAAAATAAAATAAAATATAATGTAATTACATGTGTGAATAATTCGCATATTTTTGTGCGTGTTTATATATATTTTTAAATTTAATAATATAGTTAATACAATTATTATATTTTTAGGTTGAATATTCTTATTGAAAAGTACTTTTTATAAAAGTATATGTCTATTTAATTAATTGTATAAATATTGACGTAGCGTTTAAAGAGATGGAGAAACAGGGTTAAATTGCGCGCCGGAAGCTCTTCAATGAATGGATGAACTAGCGTAAACTGGCCTTCGGATGATTCGGGGGTGGTGCACCTTGCGCATGTGCGACTCCCGTGCGACTTCGCTACCCTTCCTTCGATCGTGCTACTAGCCCGAGTTCGTTGGAGGATAGCTCGTCTTATCGGATAAACGATGGAACAGGCGGTGCGATGCTGCCTGTCTGGCCTGCCGCGAAATCCTTATTATCTCGATTTTCTCTTTCGATGACGGACACGATCTAAATATCGAGGGTAGAGATGCTTTATTAAATACTTGGACTCCTTTTAATAATAATTGACAGAACAGAAACGTGGCATGGCATCGCGTGTCTGACAATAATCCTCAAAATGTTTTAAATTACTTGAAGACAAATACTATTAGAAAAATTCAACTATTGAAATCCTGGTTAAATTATTTTATTATAATAATTATGATAATTTTTGTTGGATAATTTTTATGATATATTATAAATATAATAAAGACATATTTACTTTTGTGGGTATGTAATTCACAATTGATATACACAGAAATATTTTTCTTTAGATTTAATAAATTTCCAAAATTATTGTTTCAAACAATCATATTTTCCTGCCACAACAATAAGGTTTAATGTTAAAAAATTTGTATTCAACAAAATAATGTTTCATTCAAAATTATTTCTCAATGAAACAAATGTAAACCGAACAAATAGAAATATCGAATATAACAGCTGCCGTACAAGCGAAGAGTAAGCTATACGATCTTTTAATGCCAGTTTTTAATTTCCGACAATCAATTCTCCGCTCTTGGAAGATCTTTTTTTCGAACGTGGCGCTTTTATCGAACGGCGAATATCGCGCTACCGTTATCGCGCACCCTCTCGAATGGATCTGCGATTTAAGCGTGTCCGTTTCGCATTGAAACCGTGTCCGGGATGCGAGCGGAGGGAAGGCGCGCGCGCGCGCGAAATGGGCCCTCACCAACTCTCCACCGGGCTCCGAGGAGGCTCGCATCGGGGCCCGACGCGAGACGCGAGCCGTTGCATTTTCAGAACGGTACTCCTAACTGTATCTCGCATATGTATAAGCGCGTACGTGTGCCGCGCCGCTCACCTGTCGGCCAGCCGCGCGCTTGGTGCGATCGCCGAACAACAGCAGCCGATGAACTCGTCGCGCGACCGGCGCGGCGCGACCATTGATCCAGGGAGAACTGGTGCACCTCGTCAGAAACGTGCATTACGTGGAATAAATACTTATTATTTCTGTTGCTATTATACACTAAAACTTTTTTCATAAGTGACTTAATTGTTATATTTTTAGTACTTCAAATTGAAAAACATTTTACAAATTTATTACGTTTTTCATCTTTATAAATGTAAGTCACGTCAAATACATATATAAATACAAAGTCATCCATTACTCTTAAAGTATATCTTGACATATAATATTAATTTTTTTGCATTAAAATCAATTTTGGTCAAAAAGTCCATATAGAAACTAAAATAATTATTGTAGTGTAGAAAATAAAATTTTGTGAAAGTAAAAATTCTTCGATGTTGTTTTTGAAAGTATTAGGATCTCTATTATATGAATTGATGTAATCTACGATTCTTAATATACGATTTTTATATCATTTAATCACTACAATCTTTTATATGCTCGTTCTCATTGGCCTAGTTCTTTTGTAATATTGTAAAAATCCTTTTAATGTCACAATCTGTTTCCCATATCTCATCCTTTTCTTATCCATAATACTGTACTTGAATGACTCAAACGAGTCTTCCGAGCTTTGGAGAAGGATACGCGAGAAGCAACGGTTAGCGGATCTTCTTCTACGCAGGTACTTACGTATATGCGGGTCGCGTGTACGGATACTCACGTAATGTGGGCCCGTTTGCCGGAGGTACCGTAAGACCTTGCGGTATTACGTCACAGCGATAGAGAACTAGCATGGTTAGGGAGGCGTACAAAGGACAACGGAGAAAGGGGCAAAGAAGAAAGGAGGGGTAGAGCAACACGCTTCTCGCGCGGAGATAAACTCTGACTACGCCAAATTAAAATTCTTGATGCGTCGTGGACGAACTCTATTTCTGTCCGCAAACATGATGTCCCGAAACGATATATAGTTATATTTAGGCTCAATTTATTTTCATCGGAAACTTATTGACTTTAATTATTGAAATATTTTCTAAAAACTACCGAACTATGATTAATTATTAAATTATCATTAATGTAAATAGATAAGAATAATTTACTTTTCATAATTAATTTATAGTAAATTCCTTGCTAAAAAACATGATATACATATAAATGATGTATATAGTGTATTTGACGAAAATAAGACATAAAATGTAATTAAGCTTCGATTAATAAATAATCGACAGAGTAAAGTAAGACGGCATTACGTCGATAAAAATAATCAAAATCCTAAAATGATTTGTACTATTTGAAGACAAATTGATGTAGTATTGGAAGATTTCTATAATTGAAATTTTAATTAAATTATTTGACGAATAAAACAAAAATTAAAAATGTACATACTTTATAAAGTGCAAAAAATGTGACTCTACAAATCATATAAAATTAGTTTGGCAAACATGAGATCAATTTATTATCTCTTCTTAAAATATAATAATTTTTCTTTTAAAAACCTATTAAGTTTCTTTCAAAGGACATAAAATATTAATATTTTCTTCTCTTAATCTCAGATTGATTGGATCAAATTAAATGAAAAAAAAATCAACTAAATAATTTAGATATGCATTTCGCGTCGTACGATCGAATTCGTATAAAAGTAAATCGGGCCAAAACAGCCATTGACTTTCCGCATGAATCAAGGCGAGTGGGTTAAAATCGTGGATTCCCGCTAGTTTTATACCGTTCTCCGTTAAGCTTTTTATGCGTGCTCGCGTGCGTGCGTGAGTACGATTCCGATTTGCGGATGTTTGGTTTTATGCGAACCGATGCGCGTCCTGATAAGCTCTCATCGCGTGCAACGAATCGCTCACGTTGCGCTCGGATAACGAAATTTTTTTCCATCAGTCCCTCCTAATTTGGTCTCTAATTTATTCTCGAGTTTTACGTAATGACAGAAACACGCACGGCTCATTACGGTCAAAAGAACTCAAAAGTAATATAAGCTTTTGTATAATGGTATGATTCAAAATATTGAAATTATATGTACAAAAAGTGACGTACTTTTGCGCGGTCATACATCCTTTCATTATTTTTTATTTTAATTATTCAATGACTTCTTTGAAGTACAATAATTTTTTTTCTCCGATTAATTATTATTACTAATATCGATTAATGCAATATATACGTTGAGAGATTATATCTGTGTCTTTGATTAGAAATAGGTTTTTATATATATAACCAGAAATTTTACTTCTATATTAATAATTAGTTTTATAAGTTCAATATTTTATTTTTCAAATTATTATTTTTAAACATTTGCGATGGTTTTAGAGTTGTATTGTATTCAAGCATGATCAATCTATGAATAGCCAAAAAAAAAAAACGTCTTTTACCGTTCGAATCGATGTACCGTTATCGTTTAAGGCGTATCGTTTGTCCTTACTCATTACTATCTTTTATGTACAAAATCAACCGGCGGCGGCGAGTCAACGGACGGAGAGTCAGCGCGGAGCGGCACGGTGCTTCGTTAAGCGTTTCGCAAAATCGCTCCTGCTGGTGCGCGCGGCGATCAGCGAGCATCGCGGCGCGGCGCGGCGCGCGAAGGCCTCGGTTAAAATCCACCAGGGCCCTTCCAAAGCCCCCTCCGGCCCCGCGACACCCCACCCCACGACCCGGACCTCTCCTTCCCACACCCTCTGTCCGCCTGCCGACGCGGCCCGCGTCCACGTGTTTCTATCTGCGGTCAGTGCACTTTGCTGCACGAACCGCGGCCGTTTACCGAAGGTCCACGCAACGCGACCGCGCTTAATAATCATCCTCCGGAGGATCGTCGACCCTGGTGCGCGCACCCGGAGAGCGCGCAGGAAGCGCAGGAAAACAAAGCTGGCATACGAATTCGGCAGATTGCTGCAGAGCGGAAACGTTGGAGGGCGCCGTATTTCGTGATGCACGCAATAAGAGATAATCGATGTGTCGAATTTATCCGCGAGAATTTGATGCAAAATGCTCAACTCTGCAAAATTTCAAATTATTTCATTTAAGACTGTGCCGAAATTTTTTAAGATTTAGGAGAAAATTTTGGAGAGC